CAAGTCCAAGCGCTGGTGTGATGCGGTGCTGGTGTGGTGCTGGTGCTGATGCGGTGCTGGTGTGGTGCTGGTGTGGGCGTCAACGTCGGTGTCGGCCTTGTTGTTTTGGAGCGGCTTTCCAACATCGGCTTGGTTGTTGGCGTCGGTGCTGGCGTCGGTGCTGGTGCGGGCGCTGGCGTCGGTGCTGGCGTCGAGGCTGGTGTGGGTGCCGGTGGTGGTGTCGGGCGAAAAACTTCCGTCTTGATTTTTTCAATGCGCTGGATCTCTGGGGAGGAGCCCCAGGAGGTGTCCAGGCACCAACCTTCGGGCGTTGCTCGACGACGAGGGAGAGAAGCGGTCGGCGCTGCCCCCTGGCGCTGAGAGGCACCCCCTGTGCAAGCGCCGCGGCTGGCAGGCGGCACGCCGGGCGGCCAGCCGCGGGCCCGCGCAGCGGCACCCCGGGCACCGGCGGCTCGCCTGGACGGGCGGAGCGCGCCGCGCGAGCGACGAGCTCGGGCGCCTCCGCCAGCTCCGACAGCACCCACACCTGAAAGGGGCCCTGGGGCGCACAAACACATACACACACAAAGACCAGGCTTCCCCTATACTCTCCCATATCTGTCTGGGCCTTGGTCTCCCCCCCCCCGCGCTTCCCATGACTTCCCATATTTTCCTGGGAGCGGACGATTCATTGTGTGTGTGTTCTCGGGGATCTTTTGACCTTGGTTAATTCAGACCTGGGTCAGCAGGAATCCAAAAGCTGCAATGCAGGAAACAAAATTGCAACGCAGGTCTTCGCAAACCCGGGTCAGCCACTAGGCGCGACCGCCTCGCGGCCACGAGCGGCTCGCTAACCAGGGTCAGCCAGAGGGGGTCTCCGCAGGATCCTGCAGGATCTGGCGCCCTGGCTGACTCCCGTCTGCATTGACCCCCGTCTCTTGGCTCCCGATGTTCTTGTCCCTCCTGAGCACCGGCGGCCGTACCGCACAGAACCGCGCCGGCCTCCTCCCCAGCGCCTGCTGCGTCGCCCAGCCTCGGCGTCGTCCACGGCCGCGCCGAGCCCGCCCCTGGGCGGGCAGGCCGAGGAGCTCCAGGCGAACTGCTGCCACGAGGGACCGCCAATAAGGAGCGAGGCCCCTTTTTTCCACAAGTTGAACTTCGATCGTGACTGATTTGTGATTGATGTTGCGTGTCTCCCTCCTCCTCCTCCTCCTCCTCCTCCTCCTCCTCCTCTCCCCCTCCCCCTCTCCCCCCTTGTCCTCCAGCAGCGCACGGTGTGGATTCAGAGACAGCTGGCGTGCAGCCGCCCCCGCAAGGCGGTGAGCCTTGGCTGGCATTGTCCTCTTTTGTCCACGCGCTCTGGCGCATGGCTTTTCGTTCGTTCGTGAACTTCGATCGCCCCTGGAAGACCGAAGGAGCACCTAGAATAAAAGCAACACAATCAAGGAACACTGAGCCCCTCCCCAACGAGAAGGGTTCCTTATTCAGCGGCCCGACTGTAGATCACCAGGCCGCGGTCGCAGAGGACCAGGCGAGGAAGGAGGACGAGGAGAAGGGCCTTGCGGAGACGGTGGTGGAGAAGGTCGACGTCGTGGCGGAGAAGGTCGACGTCGCAGCGGAGGTGGAGGGCAGGCTGGCGGTGACGGAGCAGGCGGCCCGAGGGGTCGGTGAGCCCTCACCTGTGGGAGGCCTCCTCCGATGCGCCAAGCGGCGCGTGCGATTCGCCGACGCGCCATGGATTGGTGGCGGGGGATGTGGAATTTTGAAGGGGCCCTGGGACACACAAATAAATATATACACATAATCAACGGGATTCCCCATCTTTTCCCATCTTCTCTGGGTTTTTGTCTTCCCACCACTTCCCATGCTTTCTCATATTTTCTGTGGAATCGACGATTGATTGTGTCTGTGTGTTTTTTCCTCTCCTGAAGTTTACGCTCGGGACCTGGGTGGGCATGCCGATGCGCTGCCGCCTGTTCTCGCTGCCGGCGCCGCAGGAGGCCAGACCCAGCCCCCCAACCGATGGCACCGGTGCTTACACAGTCGGCCCGCAACATGAGGGTGTGCGGTAAGGATGCGCAGGGGCCTCGGGCGCACATTTCGGAGCTCTGCGAGCGGAGAGCGGCCAACTGAAGTGGCCGAGGATGGACCCAGGAGGCAGGGGTACAAGGATACCCTTGAGAAGGAGGCCCACCCTTACTCTGCGGGTTGACTGTAGCCTCCTCCTCCTCCTCCTCCTCCTCCTCCTCTCGTTCTCTCCTTTTCTTGATCAGCGCGGGACCCTCCGTGCGAGTGCGCCAGCCGCCGACGCTCTGTTGTACGGGATGGATGGGGTGGGGGTCAGCACGCCGGAGCTCGGCACGCCACTGCCTGCTCTCGCTGTTCTGGCCGCCGTGCCAGCGGGAAGCAGCCGCCAGGACGGTCCAACCCACTCTCCCTCTTTCTTTTCCATCCCACCCCACTCCCCCTCCTTCCCTTCCATCCCTCTCCCTCCTTCCCTTCCAGCCCAGAACCACTCTCCCGCTCTCTTTCGGTCTCACTGGCGTGGCCTGCCCAGCAAGCGACCCGAGAAAATATCGCATAGCCTCGACCAGCCGCAGCCGGAGGCCCCCCTTCCTGGCTACACAGCGCTGGGGTTGGTGCTAGACCCGACAAGACCAGCAAGAACACCACCGGGCCCCGCGGAGCTGCTCCCAGGGGCCGGACAGATCGCGTTTCCGCCCCTGCCAGAGCTCTAGAGCTTCAGCGCGCCATCTATGCAGAGCGAACGGGCCCAAGGCCGAGGCTTTCGGAACTGCATCCCGCGGCAAGGGCGGCAAACAGCCATCACGCGCGACGTGCGGCAAAGACTGGAGGGTGCACCGCCAAGCCCCAGGGCCCTTGGCGGGCCCCGGCCGCGCACGGCCACCCGACCGGAAAATACCTCACGCCGTGGGCCCGCCGCAGAGCGGGGCAGCCAGGGCTGCTCGAGCCGGCAGCATCAGGCTCCAAGGCTCGGCAACCGACCTGCCGAACCACCGTGCCAGGCCCGGAGCACTGTGGCCACGACTCCAGGAGCCGTGCTCCCGGCGTCGCCCAGCTCTGATCTGATCACTCCACCCCCCCCAGGGCCGACCGGCCCTTGGGGGCGGGGAGGGCTACGTCCAGAGGACTGTTCAGCCGTCAGGAATCAGGAATCAGGAGGGGGGGGAGGAGGAGGAGGAGGGGGAGGAGGAGGAGGAGGAGGAGGAGGAGGAGGAGGAGGAGGAGGAGGAGGAGGAGGAGGAGGAGGAGAAGGAGGAGGACGAGGAGGATGAGGAGGAGGAGGAAGATGATGATGATAATGATGCTGCTGCTGCTGATGATGATGATGCTGGACGAGGAGGCGAGGAGGAGCCCTGAGAAGGAGCGAGCAACCTCGATAATGAAGAGGGAGGATGAGGGTAATGATGACTATGAATTTGATGCCGATGATGATGGTGGTCATGATGATGCTGATGATGCCGATGACGATGATGGTGATGTTGATGCTGATGCTAATGCTGATGATGACGATGAGGATGATGATGATGCTGCTGATGATAATTATAATAATACTACTAATAATATTAATAATAATAATAATGATGATGATGATGGTGATGATGCTGATGATGATGATGATGATGCTGATGATGATGATGATGATGCTGTTGATGAGGAGGAGGAGGCGGAGGAGGAGGAGGAGGAGCCCTGAGGAGGCGCGACCAACTTCAAGGATGGAGGAGGAGAGGAGGAGGAGGAGGAGGAGGAGGAGGAGGAGGAGGATGAGGAGGGGGATAAGGAGCACGAACGAAGGATGAGGAGGGAGGTGGAGGAGGATGAGGAGGAGGAGGGAGGCAGGGGAGCAGGAGGAGGAGGAGGAGGAGAGGAGGAGGAGGAGGAGAAGGAGGACAAGGAGGAGGAGGAAGAGGAGGAGGAGGAGGGGGAGGAGAAAGAGAAGGATGAGGAGGATGAGGAGGATGAGGAGGAGGAGGCTGAGGAGGAGGAGGAGGAGGGAGGAGGAGAGGAGGAGGAGGAGGAGGAGGAGGAGGAGGAGAGGAGGATGATGATGCGGAGCAGGATGATGCTGATGAGGAAGAGGAGGAGCAGGAGGAGGAGGAGAGCGGGAGGAGGAAGATGCTGATGCTGATGCTGATGCTGCTGCTGATGCTGATGTTGAGGAGGAGGAGTGGAGGATGAAGAGGAGGAGGAGGAGGAGGAGGAGGAGGAAGCCGCTGGAGGAGGAGGAAAGAGGAAAAGGAGGAGGAAGATGAGGGGGAGGAGCGGGAGGATGGTGAGGAGGAGGGGATGAGGAAGAGAAGGAGGAAGAGGAATGAGGAGGCGGAGGGGGAGGGTGGAGGGGGGAGGAGGAGGAGAGGAGGAGGAGGAGGAGGAGGAGGAGGAGGAGGAGGAGGAGGAGGAGGAGTGAGGAGGAGGAGGAGGAGGGGGAGGAGGAGGAAAGAGGGAGGATGAGGATACTGATGCTGATGAGATGCTGATGATGATGCTGATGAGGGAGTGAGAGGCGCGGGGAGGTGGAGGAGGAGGAAGAGGAGGAGAGGAGGAGAAGGAGGAGGAGAAAGATGATGAGGATGGAGGGGGAGGAGGAGGGGAGGAGGAGGAGGAGGAGGAGGGAAAAGGAGGATAAGGGGAGGAGAGGAGGAGGAGGAGGAGGAGGAGGAGGAAGGATGAGGAGAGAGAGGAGGAGGAGGGGAAGGAGGAGGAGGAGGAGGAGAAGGAGGAGGAGAGGAGGAGGAGGAGGAGGAGGAGGAGAGAGGAGGAGGAGGGGGAAGGAGGAGGAGGAAGAGGAAAGGATGAGGATGTGAGGATGGGAGGAGGAGGAGGGAGGGAGGAGGAGGAGGAGGAGGAGGAGGAGGAGGAGGAGGAGAGGAGGAGGAGGAGGAGGAGGAGGGGAAGACGGAGGAGGAGGAGGAGGAGGAGGAGGAGGAGGAGGAGGAGGGAGGAGGAGGAAGGAGGAGGAGGAGGAGGAGGAGGAGCTCCTCCTCCATCCTCGTGCGAGCCTGCAGCCTGCACGCCACTGCCAGCCTCCTGGCCGAGCCCTCGGCCTGCACCTCGGCGGAGCGGCGCAGAGCGCACACCGCGTGCGCCCGCCTCCACTCCGCCAGCACCTCGGCGGTCGGAGACGGCGGGGAGGCAGAGGGGCAGGGGGCGCAGGAGGAGAGGAATGGGGACGAGGAGGGGTAGAGGGAGGACGGGGGGGGATGAGGAGGGGGAGGAGGGGGAGGAGGGGGAAGGGGAGGAGGAACGTGCGGGAGTCGTCGGGAGGAAGCCTCCGACAGACTCCTGGAGCCCCCTGAAAAAGCCCCTGAGGCCTCTGGAGGCCTCGGGGGGACTCTGGCGACCGCGAGTGGAAAGAGGATGAGAGAGGTAGGGGGGAGGGGGGACAACAATGATTGACTTGGGGGGGGGGATGAGGAGGCGGACGAGGCCCCCTCATCTGTTTCACGCTGCCCGATGCAGCTCGGTCGAGTGCCCGTCGAGGCGCTCCAGGAGCCCTCTTGCACTGCTGGCGAGGAGACAATGCACAGACTCGAGCACGGCCCCGAAGCATTTTCGGGCTCCTTCTCGCCGCTACTGGCTCGATGGAGCCCCGACGCCACGAAGGCAGGGCGGGACCTACCCCGCGACCGCGGGGCGCTCGAAGCCGGCCGACCCATCTGCCGCCGAGGGCGTCTGCGATCGGGAGCTTCTGCTTCGCGTGTCGCGGCGGCGGCGGCCCTGGCGACACGCTGCGCCCTGCAAGCGGATGCCGTTTCGGCCCGCGTCGCTGGGTGGGAGGCCTGGAGGAGCTCGGCGCGTGGACGCCTGGCGACCGCGAGGTGGATGGCGTGTTGAGCCGAGGCGTGGTGGGCCAGAACCGGTGGAACGACACGCTGACCAAACGCCCCCAAGCGTGGAGGGCAAGAGCTCCGCATGAGCAGCAGCTTTTGGAGGCCCGCGCGGATCTGTTGGGTCGTCGCCGTGGCCCCCTCCCTGGCGCACGGCGCGCGCCAAAAGGGTCGGGCGCCGATCCGAGAGATCCGCGCGGACCTCCGACAGCTTCTGCTGCTGCAATCTCTTCTTCCTCGAGCGTCGGCGCGGGCGAGGGTCGAGGGCAAAGTGGCCTTTCTCTCGCTTGAGTCAATGTCCACGGACTCACGGGGGCCCCCTCTGTTCCGTTTCTGGGACATCCGGGAGAACCGACGACGAATTCCGCACTGGCGCCCTCGCGAGGGACATCCCCAGAAGACCGACTGCCCGACCCTCCCCATGGAGGCCCTCAAAGCCACCTTGTTCCGTTTCCATGACAGCCCAGAAATCCGGCGACGAATTCCAAACTGGCGCCCTCGCGTGGGGCACCTTCAAAAAATCGCACCCCAGGGCCACCCCAAGGAGGCCTTCCGACGCGCGCTGGGGCGCACCGGGCGTGTCCCAGTGCGGGGTTCTTGCCCAAGACGTCCTCCCAAAGTCGACCCCCGGGGCGCGCGAGTAAGGTCAGGCCCCACAACGCCCCAAGGGACCATTTCCGGGGATCCGCCGGCGCGCGCGGGGCGCGCCGGGGCGCACCAGGCGTGTCCCAGTCCCAGGGCTCTCGCGCGAGACATCCTCTGGGGCGCATTGGACGTGCCCCAGTCCGGAGATCGAGGCGAAGAACCCATCCTTTCGACGACGCGACTTTTTCCAGTCGCCGGCCAGGCCAACACGTCATCCGGAGCTGCCCCCGGACGGCCCCCGTGCGGCCCAGAGGCGGTGACCCATGTGGCGGCGGTGCCATGCGAGCGCTTTTCCGTGGGAGTTTGAGGCGGAGAGCTCCCCATGTGGCCACGACGTGCGCGAGCGGTGTTCAGAACTGGGGCGGCTGCGCCACACGAGCCTTCCCACGGGGGCCTTGCAAGTGGAACTCCCTCTCTTGGGCCACGGGGCGCGCGAGGGGTGTGTGCCGAGATGGACGCGCGGAGGGCCGATGCGGGGCTAGGAAGAGGGGGAGGGGAAGGAGGAAGGATGAGCGCGGGGCGCCGTCTCTTCAAAGCCAAACCCTCGGCGTCGTGATCTTTTCGCGACGCCGCCCCCCAGAATCAGGGGGGGAAAAGACACACAGACACAATCAATCGTCGATCCCCCCGAAAATATGGGAACATATTGGAAGTGGGGGGGGAGACAAAAACCCAGAAAATATGGGGTAATCCTTTTCTTTGTGTGTATTTATTTGTGTGTGTGTGTGTGTGTGTCCCAGAGCCCCTTCACAGAAGTCTGGACCCCTTCCCCGGGACAGGTGTTTTCCATCCCGAGCCGTTGTCTGACTCTCCCGAGGCCAGGCGAGGGCCCCCCCCAGAGGCCGAAAATAGCGCCCTGCGCGCATGCTCGCGCGGATGCGCATGGCCACGGCCGCGTCGGCTACCGCTTGCGCCAACCAATCGAAAGCCCCCCCTTGATAGGACGGGTTGGGGGGCAGAAGCCCCGAACCCGACAAGGTTTAAACTACTCGCATCCTCTAATGTTCTAGGGCGCGTGTCCAGTTCTTCGACTTGATCTCTCGATATTTGCAACGAGAAACAGCCCGACGCGACCTTCTCACAGCGCGAGGAGGTCTGGGCAACGACCGCGCGCGACGACAAACCGCTCCGACCGCCGCTCCGGCCGCTCCGACGCAAATAGCCAAGAAAGACCCTCAAATACTCCAAAATGGTGAATCGTCCCCAGACGATTTTCTTTTGTGACTATTTTTGATTATTTTTGACGATTCTTTGACTATTTTTGATTATCCTTTGACTATTTTTGAATATTCCTGACTATGTTCGGGCCCTCGGCGGAGGCGCGCACAGAGATGCCCCCTTTGCGGGAGCGGCCCGCCGGCGGCGCAGCGGCCCCGGCGCGCAGTGCTGGGTCGGGCCTGTCCCCCTACAGGCCGATTTTTCCGAGGAAAAACGAAACACACAAAAAAATACCCCCCAGTGGTCAAGCATACAAATACAAGAGAGCATCCCCGGACTACTTCTTGCCCAACGTCACTTTGGAAGATCCACCCCTGCAGAGGGACACGCCCGACTTGAGCGCAGTGGGGGCCTTTCCACCCGTCACGCGTTCCGAACAAATGCGACCAGCTCAACGCACTTGCCACTCAAACCGCCAGCTTCAGACACCGACGCCACGCCGATCCCCGCATCCGTGCCCGGCACCCTCTCAACGACGGCCCCTTCCGGCGTAAAATCAATAAAACCCTTTGTGCTTACGTGCTTTTTGTTCCTCTTCCGAGAGGGGGGCGGCGGCGCACGGCCCCGCCTCGCAGGGGCAGGAGCAGCCGGCATCGCATCGGCCGCTCTCGGCATCGAGGCGACACGCGCCGCGGAGAGGATGCCCACCACGGGCGCCGTGCGGGCCGCCTGCCGCCTCGGATGGCCGGCATGCGGCCGGGCCTGGGCCAGAGGAGCACCCTTTTCGGGAACAGGGAGCCCTCCACCGGCCGAGCGGAAGCACATTCGAGGGCACCCTCCCCCCAAGGATGCACGGGAACATCCTTGGCGGCGCGCACAAGGGGGTGCAGGGAGGGGGGAGGGCTTCTTAGGAGGAAGTTGCTCCTCCGAAGGCGCCAGCCTTACATCTACAGATAAGGCCCGCGCCTTCTAAGAAGCAGGGGTGCTTCTAAGAAGCCCTCCCCCTCCCCCCACCCCCATCTGCGCGTGGCTGGCATCCAGCAGACACGAGGAACAGCAGGGCACCCTCCCGGAACCGACCTCGATCCCAATTTACCTCGGTCCAGCCGCACCTGAACTGGATCGGCTCGGGCCAGCTGGAACCGGCATCGAATCGGAGCGATCGGCTTGAGATGCGCCCTTGCGAGACGGGGAGTTATCCATACCCACCGCCTGGGAACCGACGTCCTGGTGCCCCAGCGGGCGGTGGCTATGGTTACATTTTGGCCCCAGGGGGCCCAAACATGTCCATACCCGCCGCCTGCCGAGGTCCCCGAAAATTGACCCTCCAGGCGGTGGTCATGCATCAATTCCTGCCTCGGTGCCCTTCTCTGGGGCCGCTCGCCCTGCGCGCGAGGCATGAGAGCTGGGCCGCGCGGCTGCGCGCGCGGCGCCCCCCCCCCCCCCACCCCTCACGAGCGATCGACTCCAGAGGGGAGGAGGAGGAGGAGGAGGAGGAGGAGGAGGAGAGGAGGAGGAGGAGGAGGAGGAGGAGGAGGAGGAGGAGGAGAAGCAGGAGGAGGAGGAGGAAGAGGAGGAGGAGGAGGAGGAGGAGCAGGAGGAGGAGGAGGAGGGGGAAAAGGACGAGGAGGAGGACGAGGAGGAGGAGGAGGAGGGGGAGGAGGAGGAGGAGGAGAAGGACGAGGAGGAGGAGGAGGACGCCCAGTGTAAACCCAAGACTCATCAACGATGTTGCAATAAACCCTCCCTCCAAATTTGCTCTTCATGGGTCCTTCCAAAGACCCGTTGTCACTGAAGGAATTGCCCCGTTGGAAGACAACAGTCTGAACATCCTGAAACGTGCCAGAACAGCATTCCTGGAACTTCAACGCCGCGAATTAACGCTACAGTTGCGTCTAGACGATCCTGAATCGTGCCAGAATGCCGTTCCTGAGACTTCAACACCGCGCATCAATGTAACTGCTGCTCCGTGACAGTCTTATACTCTGCCCAAACACAATTTCTGGGACGTCAGCCAGAGGAATCCTTGAAACTGGTCTTTACTCCCATAATCGAATGCGCGCGTCGCTGAAACGATAACCACATTTTGAAAACGGCTCGGCCTCGCCTCGTGAAGCTCTTGCACACTTTTAGGACGAGTGTACGCGGTGCCAAGGCGATAACAATTTTTTTGAAAAACCACCCGCCCTCCATCTGTGAAACTGTTGCACATTTACAGCTGATGGGTCATACAACCGACAATATGATCAATAAACTTGTCACCCAAGAAATCTGGGCCAGCTCCCGGAAGTCTCGTAAAACTCACCTGGGCCAAATTCGGTGGTCAACGCTGTAGGGCGAACGCGCTCAAGAAACTGAGCCAATTTTCCGGCAAGTTGGACAAAAAACGCTGGCCCAACTTTTCGAGAGGAGGTTTCTTGATCAGATGCCCGACCGTGAATGGTGAAAGCGTCTCAGGCGTAACGTTCCGCCAGCCC